TACAAGCTGAAAGAGCGTAAACTGTAATATATGTTGCTTTTTTAAAATTACTAATTTTGTTATGAAGTTCCTCTATTATCATTGTTGTTGGAATTGTGGTATTATCAATAGGTACACATCCAATCCATTTTTGCCGATGTCTACAAACTTCAATTAATTCTGCAACTTTCGTTTGATCTTTTGCACATATGATAGGACCAGCATAATTATATGCTTCACGCCATATTGTAATAATATCTGAAAAACTTGACATATTTATTCCATAAATATTATAATAGATATCTGATTCATTTCTTTTACGTCGTAAAAATCAGATTGTTGGTCTAGCCAAATTTGCTGTAAGCCAACATGTTGCTAAAGTGCTAATAGACATAAGCACGATTAAAAAATCAATAAAACCTTCATGATATTCTCCAATTCCTCTCATAGTAGTTATACTACGTTGCATTTTATCAATAACTTTCATAATAGCTTGTGCCATTCCAACAAATACAGGTCGATTTTTTTCCATTGTCTTATCAACCAAAAAGGTTATACATTGTCCAATCCAATTTTCAAGCCTATTGGTTTCAACTGCTTCAATAATATGCCCAAGTGTAGGATATTTATTAATGGTTGTATAATAGGAATGATCTGACATTTCTTTTTCAACATACTTAAATAATTGTTATAATTCTGTTGATCTTGTATTACCAGATCAATTTTTTAATGAAGAAATTACCGTATCATATAACTTTTTGACATCGAATTGAATCCAGCTATTTTCAAACTGAGAAATAATACTTGCAGGTATGGGCTGACCTTCTTTCAAGAGAAGTAAACAATCAATCTGCGTAATAAGCTCTTGATAACGTCGATTTCTTTTTTGTACAGCATCTGATTGCGCTAGATTACCACATTCAAAACAATATTTAGATGTTGTATACCCTTCGCATTTGTTACTTTTAATGTATCCATGTGTCTTAATCTTTTTATCAAATAGATTATCATCAAGTAAAATTTTGTAGTTGTTCGTTGATGTTCCATATTGTGCAAGTGCTGCAAATGACTTAGAATAATAACCATAGCATACTAAAAATAAAGAATTTAAATAAGATTTTTTTTTATTTTTTTAAATATTATATTTAATAATTACCTTTTTTTTGATAATTCTGAATGCATTCCTGTATCTGTATCCAAAATTTCTTTTTGTTTACTTTCAAAATTTAAGAAAGTAGTATGAAGCCTTTTGGAAGGATTTGATTTTTCATATATTACATTATTTTTATGCATATTTGTTTCAAGATGCTGCCATAGCCGATAGCTGTCATTATTTCGATATAAAGTAATTGGTGTTCCAGTATCACAATAATGACAATAAACTTGACGATCACTGATTTTTTCTAATTTTGAATCCTTTAAAAATTCATCAAGTGATGGTATCTTTCAGTTACTTTGAGTTTTATCTTGAATCTTTGGTTTTATTTCCTGTTTTGCCTTTGCATAAAGTGTAGAATAGTCTTTTT